TTCATATATCTCTCTCTCTCTATCTCTATCTATCTATCTATCTATCTATCTTCTTCTGTCTTTCTTTCTTTCTATCTATCTATCTTTCTCGTTATTTTCATATCTATCTATCTATCTATTTTCATATCTTTCTTTTCTCATTCTTTCTTTCTTTTCTTCTTTTCTTCTTTCTTTCTTTCCTTCTTTCTTTCTCGGTATTTTCATATTTTCTCCCTTCTATCTATCTATCTATCTCGCTATTTTTATATCTTTCTTTTTTCTTTCCTTCTTTCCTTCCTTCTTTCTTTCTTTCTTGGTATTTTCATATCTATCTGTCTATCTATTTTCATATCTTTCTTTTTTTCTTTCTTTCTTTTTTCTTTCTTTTTTCTTTCTTTTCTTCTTTCTTTCTTTCTTTCTTTCTCGGTATTTTCATATCTATCTATCTATCTATCTATCTATCTATCTATCTATCTATGTGTTATGGGACCTTACCCATAATAACATAATGGACTATCACATACGTAATAAATACTGCGCCTCAAGAGGAAGCAGGGAGTTCAGTCTGAAGTCGGGCGACCGGCTGATCGGTTGAACTCTCTACCTTCGAGCGGGGAGTAACCCGAACGAGGCTACGCCGAAGGGCGGAGTCTCTTTCGGGTGGTTTATACGGGTTCAAAGGGCATATTTTTGGCCGAGCCCACGGGCTCGTAGATTCCACGTTAAACCGGCCTTGTGCCACATGATGCCCTCGTGGGGGGTGGGGGTGACTAAATACCGTTCAGTCTGAAGTCTGGAGTGAGGTCCGTCAGAAGTCCGTCAGGAGTCTGTCAGTCCGTCAGAGTCAGTTAGTCGAGTCAGAAACAGAGTCAGTTCGAAACAGTCGCGTTTAGACAATTACTGCAAGACATTGGAATAGTGATACTGGTCGAGAGTACATTGTTCTCTCTACTAAACCTGATTGTTCGTACTAACACTTTCTACTTCTCTGTATATATTCCTGTTTGTAATATACATGTGTTATTCCATATCCGTGTTCGAGTTCTTCTTTATTGGTTCTACCTTTGACTATCACCGTGGTCCAAGGAACCGGACCATAACACTATGGATAATTTTTGGCTTACCAAGTTTACCGTGATCTGTACAAAACATTTTAGTTGGATATTCTTCGGAGGAAATGTAATTTTTGTTTGCCTCCTTCCATCATCTTTCGTATCCATTGCTGTCTTTCTATGTCGTCCTATTCGTCTGAATTGCGTGTATTGTTTCGAATTGTGTTGAGCTGACAAGGGTAGGCCGACATCATATCGGAGCCCGGATCTCTTCCTGCTTCCCTTACAGAAATAACTCCTTCGGCATGGGCAAGGGATAGGCCCCCACAAAAAGGGAGAGTGTATTTCAGAAATTTAAAAGAGAAGTTTGATCCATATGTTAATGGAAATGAGTTATTACCGGTGCTGTCTGTATTGGACACGGTGAATACAAGGACAATCTCGTTAGTAACAACGGACCCCAAGACCCGGAAGCTAAATATCGTGACTAGGGAAGTGATGGAGGAGGCCTTGAAAAGGCTTCAAATTGCAGCCCAAATTCTAGCAAGAAGAAATACGTCAGTGTGGGTCATCTTATTGCCGACAGAAGAGAAAGCCAAATCGCTGGCAGGCTGTATTCTAATTACTTCGACATTCAGGCTTCAGACGGAATATATGGGGACGAGAAAGGCAAAGGTGACTCTACATAGGGTGCCACTCTACATATCTGAAAACCATATTGTTTTTTTTTTTTTCTTAAATATGGGAACGTCTCCAACATCTGCCCTATTAAAAGTAAGGCCGGAATTGCCACAGGTGATATTGAAATCGCAATTACATTAAGCAATTTACGGAAATATCCAACACGTTAATGTGTGAGGGTAGACTTATGTATGTCGTTGTGGACGGGTCGTTGGCCACTTTGTTGGGCTGTGGGACACTTGTCGAAGGCTTGCCCGGGTCAAAATCCTGCCCCACAATCCAAAAAGAAAAATGAAACAACAACATCACAGGCAACTTCACAGGCAACTTCACAGGCAACAGCAGAGACAACCAAGAAAAGTGGAGAGTGGACGGAAGTCGTCAAGAAGGGACCCAAAAGTACAACCACTTCCCTTAAGCAGCAGAATGAGGGTCCCCAACCAGAGCCAGAGGACCAGCAAGTCAGGAAAGTAGAAATACCGGAGATGCCCCCACCTTCACTGAAAAGAGAGAGAGAGGAAACAGAAGAAGAAAAGGGGGAAAAATAAAGACAAGCGAGCTGAAGACATGAAAACTCTGCCAAGACCAAGGCTCAATCAGCCCCGGCTTCGCCAGTCAAGAAGCCTGAGGAAAATACCACAAGAAGACGTCCTCCTTCCCCTCTAAAATCACCTCTGTCACCCATTCGCAATACGCCTCCTTATCAAACACCCCCTCCAAATACAACTGCAGCCGATGATATTTCTACTCCTCCCAACACTCCACTTTCCACCAGTTACAATTCCTAGTAAATCCCCAAAGCCCAGCACCTCCCAGCAGAGTTTTTCTTCTCGTAAGAAATTCCCGAATGGGGTAATGTCTTGCTGTGTGGACAATAGAAGCGGGCATGTCGAAGTAAAAAAGAGCTTTGTTGAAGCCCTTGTTAAAGATGGCGTCAGTAGACGGACTTCCTAAAGATGATCCCCGAAATTTCCCCAAGGCCGCTGGCGTAATGACATGGATAAAGAGCACAGGCCGAAATCTAATAGCGTGGGATCACCTTCACGAGGCGAAGGATGACTTTCCGGAGATCCGTATGGCGGAAATAGGAACACCGGAACTGAGAAAACAACATAAACATTGTGTAGGGAGGGTCCCAGTAATCATCCATCATTCATTATACAGGACATTAACGTACCCCTCGGACGTTGGCGGTATTGTCCGAGATGGTCGTATGACGAAAGAGATGGGGACAGGGAGCCTGGGACAATGCGTCGGGGTTATTTCATCCGCAGATTTCCGTCCAGTCTGTGATTAGGGGAATCAACTTGAAACATGTCTCTCAAGATAGCTAGTTTGAATGCGAGGGGTTTGAGGGAACGGAGTAAGGCCGCCCGCCTGCTTCGTGATCTCGTGTCCTTCGGCGTAGATGTAGCTGCGATCCAGGAGACGCACATTGCTTGCGAGGTTGATACGTGTGTACTGTCTAGCGACCATATTGTCTATTCAGCATACGTGGACCAGCCGGCCAGAGGTATTTCCTTGCTGGTTAAACGTACCCTGGATGCGAGGGTGGACCTTATCCGCGTCGATGCGGGGTGGGGGCGGTTGATCGTGGCTGATACTGCCGTGAACATTAGTTCGTTTCGGATCGTTGCGGTTTATGCACCCAACGATCAGAGGGAGCGAGTCTCGTTTTTTCGGCAGTTGGGGCCGTTCCTCGTCGATTCTTCGCGCTTAGTCTAAGTGGGGGACTGGAATGCCATCCTGGTCCCCAAGATAGACAGGGGGCGGGGGGTAGCTGGAGGTCATTGGGTGATCATAGCCTGGTTGTAATCCCCTGACCGTGAATATATATATATATATATATATATATATATATATATATATATATATATATAGTTTTAGAAATGGATTTTTCATTAATTATGTTGCCTGGGCCAGGACCAAATATTGCTCATCACCCACCTCGATCCCTTTCTTTAGTGCAATGAGAAGATACTGCCGCTGGCAACTGTTACCCCGGGAACAGGCACCTTGCAATATTTTCCCAGCTGCACTCTGTCCCCAGACAGAGGCACAACTGATTTGCTTACTACAACTAAGAGATGCTAACGGTAGAAGTATCATTGCCACTCCTTTGTTTAGCGAGCATATACAATATGCTCATTAAAGGGGCGTAAGGCAAGGATGCGTCTTCTCACCAGACCTGTTCAACCTATACAGCGAGGCATTTAGCATTGGCAGCCATAATCTTAACATAAGATATGCAGATGACACAGTACTGATATCAGACACGGAAAAGAAATAACAAAATCTTTTACAGAAGGTAGCGACGAAGAGTAAGAAGGAAGGACTAAGCCTAAACTACGAGAAGACGGAGTGCACGGCCGCCAGTAAGAGGATGAGCCGGAAATACGATCTGAAGGGCGGGAACACTAGAATCAAGCAGACGCGGATGTTTAAATATCTGGGAAACGTCTTGACAGAGGACGGTAAGTGCGACACTGAGATCCGTAGACATATTGGGATGGCCAAGGACACATTCCAAAAGTTGGGCAGAGTATTGCGAAACAGGAGGATTTCTTTGGTAACAAAAAAAAAAAAGAATACTGAACTCTTACGTGACAGCTGTTCTTCTTTACAGCAGCGAATGTTGGGCGATTTCCTCAAAGATGAAGAAAAGACTCGAGGCGACGGAGATATGGTTCTACAGATGGATGCTAAAGATATTATGGACTGAGCGTGTTAGCAACGATGAGGTCTTAGAGAGAATGCAAACAAGGAGGAGGCCTATACGTAACACCAGGAAAAGGCAGCTGAAGTTCAAAGGGAATATTTTTGGCCGAGCCTACGGTCTCTGAGAACCCACGCTAAACCGGCCTTGTGCTACATACGACCTACGTGGGGGGGCATTAAATATAATGGTTATCAAGCTTGTCTCTCGAGATCGATTAAGACCGAATAGTGATTGGGAGACAAGAGGGTTTCTTTGGTAACGAAGGAAAGAATACTAAGCTCTTACCTGACATCTGTCCTTCATTACGGCAGCGAATGTTGGACGATATCCTCAAAGATGAAAAAGAGTACCGAGCTGCTACGTGACATCTGTACTCCTGTACGGCAGCAAATGTTGGGTGGTCTCCACAAAGATGAAAAAGAGACACGCAGCAACGGAGTTATGGTTCTACAGAAGGATGTTGAGGATATCATGGACCGAGCGTGTGAGGAAAGAGGACGTCTTAGAGGAGATGCAAACAAGGAGGAGGCGTGATGAAAATCTGATGCAATTTTTCTAAGCCAAACAAATTTCAACATATACCCCGAAAATAGATTCATATTTGTGCATACCACTGCAAATGACCTCATCTGAGGAATAAAAAAAAATAGAAATCGATTACACGCTGTCACTCCAATGGGACTAAAACTGACCGTATAGTGAAAGAAAGGAAACTAAATCGGTTGTTTCAATTAAAGGTGTACATGGTTGTTAGCAAAAGGAAGAGCCTAACCGAAAAATGGGAAAATGGGAGATAACAAAATCTGTTGCCTACACAGTGATCCTCTTGGAACGGGGCCAAACCGTTCATTACAGTCAAACTCTCCTCCTCGGCAGAGAGGAACCCGGACGAGGCTTTGCCGAAGGGGAAGGTTTCGTCCGGAGAATTAGATAGGACCTGAACCCGTTTATAAGGGTTCAAAGAGAATTTTTTGGCCGAGCCTACGGTCTCGGAGAACCCACACTAAACCGGCTCTGTGTCACATACGACCCACGTGGAGGGGGACATTGAATATAATGGTTATCAAGCTTGTCGATTAACACTGAATAGCGATTGGGAGACAAGAGGATTTCTTTGGTAATGAAGGAAAGAATACTAAGCTCTTACCTGACATCTCTCCTTCATTACGGCAGCGAATGTTGGATGATTTCCTCAAAGATGAAAAAGAGACTCGAGGCAACAGATATGTAGTTCTACAGAAGGATGTTGAGGATATCATGAACCGAGCGTGTGAGGAAAGAGGAGGTCTTAGAGAGGTTGCAAACAAGGCTTATACTGAATATCAGGAAGAGGCAGCTGAAGTTTCTCGGACATATAATGGAGGAGGTCTTAGAGAGGATGCAAACAAGGAGGAGGCTTATAATTAACACCAGGAAGAGGCAGCTGAAGTTTCTGTGACATGCATTGCGGAAGGAAGGCCTGGAGAATCTGATACTCATAGGTCGAATAAAGGGAAAGAGACAAGGGAAAACAACGTATGACATACCTGGCGGGCTTAAGCAAGTGGATGACAGAACGTGGTCTGGGAGAGGAACCAGAGGGAAGGTACTGGTTGAGATCTGCAAGGGATAGAGGGAGGTTGAGAGCCATGATCGCCTACGCCCTGAATGGACATGGCACATAAAAAGAAAAAATAAAGAAGTAACAGCACTAACTAACTAACTACCAGTACAGCGCGATAATGGGGTAAAATATTACTAATAAAACCCGCGGCATCGAAAAGATTACAAAATGTCGTCTATAAAATTGTCATGATGGAAATAGCGACGACGAAGGAAAAAAAAAATCGATTAATTCAGGGAACAAGCACCATAATAAATCTCCTAACTTTTATTATCAATGTTATATGCCAATTTAAAAAGATAAAAAATTAAGGACAAGTTCAATGAAGGGAAAAAATATTAGAGAAGAGGTCGACAATCAAAACACAATTGGAGACCTCTGGGTCACTGCTCTCATTTTTTTCAGACGAAAAGGAAAAAAAGAAGCATTTCCTGTTTGCTGCATGGCTATATCTCTGTAGCAATGAAAGTAATGTTACTTCTGCGACCCAGTATATTCTGAGGTGAGTTAATTAGTTCAGTAATTAGGAAATCCTTTTTAATTATTTCGAAAATGACCCGTTGAATGACATCACAAAATTAACAATTACGTCGATAATTGAGAACATTCATTTTAATTTGCAAGACGCATACTGTCGAATAAAAATGAGGAAAAATATCTAAAATACGATATTGACATATCGCGTAGTTTCATCTTGCTTAGGGCCAAAATGTACTTTACTGTATCCAGGGCAAGGCAATAAAGCCACTAAGACACAGTTTGGTTTGATTTATATCACGGCATATCAACCAATTTGGGTTATTTAATGGCGAAATTTAGTATTTTTCTAAATAAAATCTTTTATTTGAATAGTCAAAAATATTTTATATTGTAAGACTCCTGCTAGTTATGGTATTATTTTTTTCCTTTTAATTATATTTCTGAAATCAGTTTAATTTTCGAATATGTAAAATGAATCAGTATTTTAAAAATGTTCTTTGAAGTTTGCTGTTTGGTAATATTTTAAGCAGTTTGAATTAAGATGGCTGCAGTATGTCAATATGCGATTTATTGTGAATAATACGCAAGCCGTTAATGAGTGTGAAAGAATTCGAAAAGAGAAACATTATCAAGGAAAGAGAACAATAGAATAGTAATCAAGAAGACAGTAGATAACTATTGACATTGCATTTAAATTTTCGAAGATGGCTGAAAAGTGTGGAGCCGGAAGAGAACTCCACAGGCGAGAAGTGCAAGAAAAGAAACTGCTAGCATAGAACTTACGGTTACATCTAACGAATTCAACAGTAAATTCATGAAAACGTGTTTCCAATCTAGTACTGAGCTTAGGTTCATAAAACCCAAGTACCACAGCGAAAAGCACATACCAACGCTTACCATGAAAATATTTATAGAAAAAGTTACAAGGAAGCAACTTTACGGCGGTGGGAAAGTGACCGAAGCCGAGATGCTAGAGTAGGACCCAT